TTTTTTTTTTTTTTTTTTTTTTTTTTTTGTAGTGCTAGGGATCAAACCCAGGGTGTCACACATGCTAAGCAAGTACTCTGTTACTGAGCTACAGCCCCACTCTACTTTTTGGAACATGCCTGGGGCTCACTGAGAAGCTGACAGATGCTTGGATGAATGTTTTCCTCAGCTTTGTTGTTTTGTTTTGGAGATAGGGTCTCACTCAGGCTGGCCTCAAACTTGTACTCCCCCTGTCCTGAGTGCTGGGGTTACACACTTGCCTGGCTTTGCCAGCTCTGACAAGAGCCCACACCACTTCTCCCCCCAGATGCCCAGTCCTTGTCATCTCCATAGCCCTCCCACTGCCTTCTGTACTTCCTTCCGCTTCTCAGCCTCAGCGATCACAGGAAGCCATCCCCCAACACTGAAACGGATCCTTTGTCTCCTTTCTTAACACACCACGCCCAGAGAGGCAGGGACACTTGGCTACAGCCAGGAGTCACGAGGTAGATGGACCCGGCCGCTCCTGGCAGAGGGCAGCGGTGCCACACTTCCCCTGCAGACCCCACATCCCCCACCCTCCAGTCCTGAGAAGCACTGATCTCAGCCTGCACAAAGACCCTAGATGGGGCACAGAAGGGGGACAGCAAGGGCCTCAGAGGCTACCAGGCCCTAATTTCATCTTGCTCTGAGGATCTGCTAGCCACCCACAGCCTGCCCACCACGACCAGCTGGCTGGCTCTGTCTCCAGACCAACGCTCCTCATACCCTCTTTTTTAGGGTAGTCTTGCTATATATTCCAGGCTGGCCTCAAACTCACTATGTGGTCCAGGATAGATTCAAATTTGCAGCACTGGGGCCAGGGATTTAGCTCAGTGGTTCCACCGCATGCCTTGCAAGTGAAAGGCCCTGAGTTAGATCCCCGGTATCAAAAACAAACAAACAAACAAAACTGCAGAACCTTCCTGTTTCGGCCTCACGGATGATGGGATTACAAGTGTGCACCAATATGGCCATCTTGGATGCATTCTTTAAAATTAAACCAGCAGGGTATGGTGGTATACGCCTTAATTCAAGTACCCCATGTCACAAGTTCAAATATAGCCAGAGAAATTTGGGAACATAAAGAGTGATACTGTCTCAAAATAAAATTAAAAACAGGGCTGGGGGCCAGGGATTTAGCTCAATGGTTAGGCCACCTGCCTCACAAGGGGCAGGTTTGATCCCCGGTACCAAAAAAAAAAGGCGGGGGGAGCTGGTGATATAGCTCAGTGGGAAGGCCCTCGGTACAGTCTTTAGTATTGGGGGATTAAAAAGAACAGAAAATAATCCTCTCTTTTGTCTTTTTTCCTACATATTTCACAAGACTGAGTATGCTTTCAAATTGTCCCTACAGGTACCCCTGGCCAGGAGAGGGGTCACACACCTCAGCTTAGAGTTACCATTCCATACCTGGTACCTCCTGGATCCTACAGCATCCCCACTACTACTACCTGTGTCAGGGGAGAGGGTAACAGTAGTGCCTGCCACCCTGTGTCCAGGGAGACTGGTGGGAGCTATGGATGCGCCCTTATCCCTTCTCTAGCAGGGAGGTGACACTGACAGGGAGAAGTGAGGAAAGGAGGCTGTGGCAAGGGACAGACCTTGAGAGTAGGTGGCTGCTTTTCGTTGCGTACCCCTAAGGAGCTCCTGGCCCTTACTCACCATCGCTGAGGCTGGAGACGCCTAGGGCCTGAGCCGTGTGCAGCGTGAGGCGCCTCTGTGCGTCTTGAATGTAGGCCATGACTGGCATCGGGTAGAAGTTGGCCTGCAGAGGCAGCTTCTTCAGATACCGCCGGGGCTGCACCTGTGGGCAACCCCAGCAGGTCAGGGCCTCTGAGGACTGGGCCCTCAGGGTCCCTGATCGCACTTGCTTTGTCTGTCAGGGCCACCAAAACAGTCCTTGTTCTGCCCGTGGGGTCCAGGCATCACCTGAAAGCCATTGAGGTCTGTGAAGAAGGTGCCTTGGCTGTCAATGTCTGTGTGGATGCGCAGCGCCAGCTCCTTGTTGACATAGTCCCGGATGTCCACCAGGAATGACACATCCAGAGACAGCCCCTCTACTCCTGGGCACAGGGACACATGGGAGACACAGGAAAAGGGCAGAGGAGCACAGCTCATGAGCCATGCTGGGGATGCTCTGCCCAACCTCCTGGATGAGTCCCGGGGACAGAGTGTCTGGCGACTTTGTCCCAAGAGCACTAAGCATCCCTGACTCAAAAGCTCCATCTGTTGGGAAAAGATGTGTGAACACAGAAGGGGTGCAAGGGATACATGTCACAGCCTGTGGGGACCATACCTCCTCCACAGCCCTTCCTCACCTGGCAGGTTGTACAGTCGGACCATCTGGTGAACGTTCTCATAGTATGCGACTACCTCTGAGAAGAAAGGGCCCTCAGTGACATGCAGCACAGGTGGGTTCTTGGGGATGTAGGGCTGGGAAAAGACGAGGTGGTTACTGAGCCCGAGGTATAGACAGCCAAGCAGAATGTAGCAGCCCCAAGTTGGTCAGGAGATGTCCTTGTCCCAGGGGGCTTTGTCTAATTTCCTGAGCCCCACTGTGACCTCTGCCTGCTCAGTGACCTTCCAAGGTGGCAGATAAGACCCCAGCAGGGAGCGGTCACCCTGGAAGGCCCACGCCTCTTCACACAGGCCCATTAGGGACACCTTGCAGGGCCCACCAAGTACCTTGGCCTGGTCATCGGGCAGGAAGAGGTAGGCGCCGCTCTTGTCTTTGGATGCACGCGTGCCATAGATGAAGAGCCCCATGTCTATCCGCTGTTCCTGCTCCTCGTCCACCCTTTGGACGCTCTGTCAAAAACCACAGCCTGACCCCTGGCCCCATGCCAGCATGTCAGGCCCAGCCCAGGGATACAGCCTGTGTCTCAGGCGTCCCCAGAGGCCCTGATTAAGGAAATGATGCCTGGGGGTACTGCCAGGAGGAGGTGGAAGCCAACATGCAGGGCCCAGGGGAGGTTTGGGGTCACTGGGGTTGCCCCTCTCCTGTCTCCTGTGTCCTGCCCACAAGGGGCAGCTCTCCTGTGCCACATGCTCCCGCCATGATACGCTGCTCCCACATGCCCAAAGCAGTGGGTTTACCGGGCCAGTAGCCAAAAACCTCTGTAACTGTGGCTAATGCGAACCTTTGTTCTTTTTAAATCCATGATCTCAGATATCTGTTACAGTAAAAGAAAACAGCCCAACACACCCCATTTCCTCAGATTTTGGCTCAGCATCAAGACAGCCCACATCTGGGTCACAGCCATTCAGCTGTGTAGCAGGCACAGCTCCATCAGTGTTCACACCATCCCCCACTCCCGACCCTGCACCAGCACCCCTGGCCCTTTACCTTGAGGAGCCCAGTAAGGCCTGAGAACCAGACCTGCATGTAGCGGTTGCTGAGGGCAAAGTCACTGGCGCCTGAGTCAATGATGTGGACAGGGAAGGCTTCATGCCTGCTGACTGACAGCCTCTGGCCGTGCAGGTAGATGCGCATGGAGGAGGGCAGTGTGCGGTGTGTGTCCAGTCCCTGCTGGAGCTGCAGCACACCCAGGCCCAGGGCAGGCAGGCGGAGGGGCACAGACACCTATGGGCAGAGGATGTGAGAACACAGGCTTTGCCGAGTGCCCTGGGGTCCTGGTCTCAGGCTTCTGTTTCCTCACAGAGAGCCTGGACAAGTCCCTGCATCCACAGGGCCTCTGTCATTTTCAAATGACATTTTAAAAAACTATTAAGTAGTCAGGTGTGGGACTGTTAACCTGGCACTCTGGGAGACTGAGGCAGAAGGACTGCAGTGTGAGTCCTGCCTGGGCAATTTAGCAAGACTCTGTGTCGAAATAAAAAAGGGTCAGGGCCAGGGATCTAGTTCAGTGGTTCTGCCGCCTGCCTCACAAGTGCAAGGTCCCAAATTCAATCCCCAGTATCAAAAGAAAAAAAATTTTGTTTTTGGTACCAGGGATCAAACTCAGGTCCTTGCGCTTGCAAGGCAGACAGTGGAATCACTGAGCTAAATCCTCGGCCCCAAAAGAAAACTTTTAAAAATAAAAAATAAAAAAGGGTCTGAAGATGTAGCTCAGTCCAAAGGCCCTGGATTTAATTCCCAGTACTAAAAAACAAAAACAAAAACAAAATCCTACAAAGTGGTAACCACATTAGGCTTTCAATAAATAATATTTTTTTGTTTGTTTGTTTGTGTGGCTTTTTTTTTTTTTTTTTTTTTGT